TTCAGCGCCAGTGAACCCTTCGTAGCCCAGAGTGTGATGTCGTCCGCATACAATGTATATCCAAGGTGCGGGATTGCTTCGAGCTCGTGAGCAAGTCTGCGCATAGCTATGTTAAAGAGCAAGGGGGAGATGACTGCCCCTTGCGGTGTGCCTTTATTTGGCATCGAGAACGGCACCGACCTCGTGTCGCCTATCCCAATAGTTGCCGTCCGCCCAGAGAGGAAGGATTTAATGTAGTTAAATGTACGCTTTCCGCAGCCGATTGTGTTGAGTTCAGAGAGAATGGCCTCGTGCGAAACATTATCAAAGGCCCCTTTGAGGTCGAGGGCCAAGACCAAATGTTCGCCTCCCCTGGGTACGCAACTCATGACCTCTTCTTTTAAAAGGAGGAAGGCATCCTGGGTTGAGAGTCCGGAGCGAAAACCAATCATGGTAGCGGGAAACAGATTTTCTTTTTCAATGTAATTTTGAAGCCGTGTCTGTACTACTCGCTCGTAGAGCTTGCCCATGCACGAAGTAAGCGAAATGGGCCGCAGGGCTCCGAGCGATGGTGCTTTACCGGGCTTTGGTATAGTTATTATTTTGGCTTCCTTCCACTCCGGAGGAACGTGACCTTGGGACCAGCAGTGGTCGTTAAGAAATTGCGTTATCTGCTCAAGAACCTCAGTGCTGAGGTTTCTTATCATAGCGTTTGTTATACCATCCGACCCCGGCGCAGAGTTCCGATTGGCTGCCTGGGCTGCCGCGAAAACCTCTTCTTTCGTGATTGCGGCGTCTAATGTGGCATTCTCGCTGCCGATGTACTCTAATGTACATGGCGGAACCACATCAGTACCGATATAACGGTCTTTAAGCGCCTGGATCAACTCTCCGTCGGTGCCGGGGTAGCTGTGTACTATTCTTTGAAGAATGCGGTTCATGGAGGACTTAGATTTGTCCGGCTCCAGCATGGACCTCAGTATCGCCCACGTCTGGCTAGTCCCTAGTGTACCGCGGAGAGAACCGCAAAACTGCACCCAACCATCGGTGGCAAGTTTCGTTGCGTATTCATTCGCTTCCTCCGACAGAGCAGCGATTCGCCTGTAGAGGCAGCGGTTGAGGCGTTGTTTTTTTTTCCATCTCTTGATCAGGCGTCGCCTACTATCCCACATGTGCAATAGGTGCCGGTCTATCGCAGGCGCCTCAACTGTGCGCGCTATTTTCTTAGAGGTGGCATCATGCGTTTCTCGAATGAAAGCAACCCACCCACTGACATCACAGGGCGTTTGCTCCGGCAGAGGGCGCTTTCGAAAGGTCACCCAGTCTGTCATCACAACGTCACCAGCGACACGACGAACTTTTGGTGATGCTATAGAGGTGCTAAGAATATAATGGTCACTACCAAGGTTTTCATCGAGGTTTGACCACATGGCATTTTTAATGTTGAAGGTGAAGGTCAAATCAGGGTACGTGTCCCTGCTAATGCTATTACCAAGCCTGGTGGGTGCTGTTGGCAGAGTGATAAGGGTAAAACCTAATTTAGACGTGGTGTTCTCTAATAACACTCCCTTGGGTGAATCCCGGACGTAGCCCCAAGCGGTGCTCGGAGCATTAAAGTCGCCCACCACCACTAATTGATCTCTGGTGCCAACGGCTCGAACTGCCTCGTTTAGGAGTGGGCCGAAGTCGTCATTCCGGTTTTTTGGGAGGACTGTATATGTTTAAAATTTTCGTTCGTACTTTTCCTCGTTTTTGTGGGAAGACATCGATAATTTGGTGATTAATGTCAGTCTGATCGTAATGGTCTAGCGCGACTGTCATGAAGTTACTCACCAGCGCTGCAACGCGGGGGTATTTTGGATCGTATAATGTGTAATATCCCTGCAATTTGACGGGACGGTTCCCAACTTCTTGCAGGCATATTACATCAGGTGGGATTAGTGCCGAATGGATGTAATTCTGCAATGCCGCCGCTCGTTTGTGGAACGTGCGACAATTCCACTGCCAGATTTCTAGGTGGTCGGAGTTTTGCGTGGAATTAGTTCGCGCCATGGTGACTACTGCCTTTATTGGGGGGTGTCTGCTTTCTCCGTGATTCGACGGTCCTTCGGTAGTGGACTGCTCGCGGAGGTAACACTGACCCGCTTGTTGATGGCACGCTGAATGCCTACAACTGAGTCATTAACGTATCGTCTTTGTTGTTCCGTTTCTGCTGCAAACTCTTTCCTGTACTCCGAAAACATTTGATGCATTTGCTGCATCATCTGCTCTCGGAGTTCAGACGCTGCTCGTTGCTGTTGTGATTGGAGTTCTCGCATTAAGTTTCGCAAGCTCTGCAACTGTTCCCCCATCTGTAACTGGCTAACGTGGGCCTCCTCGCTAAACCTCTGAGGTATGTCTACTTTCGCCGTTCCTCCCTCCAAAGAGTGGGCTACGGTTGCCCTGGAGATAGCATGAGTGGCGTTGTTGTTCGCCTCTAAGGCGTTAAGCCTGGCTTCAAGTTTGGTTTCTAAAGATGATATGATTTTGTGGAACTCCCGGCGTTCCTCCTTAATCTGGCATCGAAGTTTCTCGTTTTCTAAAGCAAGCTGCTTATTCTCGGCAACCATTTTCTGATATTCGGGATTCTCAATTAAGGGAGCAGATGGAGACACAATCCTCGCCCAGCTCACCATGTTTGCTGGCTGGCAGGCGGCTGCCTCCGTCCCCTCTTTGGGCGGCGTCAAGATTTGTACCAGCGCGTTCTTCTTCTGCTGCTGATGCTGCTGCTGTTGCTGCTGCTGCTGTTGCTGTTGCTGTTGCTGCTGTTGCTGCTGCTGCTGCTGTTGTGTTGCTGCTGCTGTTGCTGCTGTTGGTGCTGCTGCTGATGCGGCTGTTTGTTGAGTCGTTTTCTGGACGCAGACTGGGCTCGACCCTTTGAGGAAGCCCGTGACTTGGATCTTGAACGTGAGCGTGATTCCACTGACGAGTCCCGCTCGGAGCTGAACCAGCGTGGATGGTGCCTCCGTTTTGGCTGATCCACTCGGGACCTCCTAGGCGGAACGTGTTTAAGCTTCTTCTGCACATTTTGTCACCTGTCATATGGTCCTCACCACATATCACGCACTTAGGGGTACACGCGTGTCCTTGTGCGGGTTCACGTGTTCCACACGTGGAGCATACATTGGCGTCGGGCGTTGGGCACACGTCAGTTCGATGCCCTGTGGAGTGGCATACCTTGCAAGCCTGCCTCGTAGGCTTGTGGGGATAACAGATGGCTTCCGCTCCCATGAAATAGACGCACCTAGGCAGTGTGCTGCCCGTGAAGGTAATGATGGCGGTCTTCGTAGATCCGAGCATGCGTGCCCGCTCAATCTTGACCCCCTGTGTTCTCACACGGAGATTCGCCATGAGTTCTGCTTGAGAAGTCCCCGACGGAATACCATGGACTATTCCTCGTAGGACGTCCTCAGGATCCGCCACATACGAGTTGAATGAGTGCACTCGTCCCCTGATATTCAGATGCGTGATCTCTCGCAGCTCTTTGGCTACATGCTCGTGGGGCGTCGATACGATGATAATATTCGAGCCCGGGTGGACGCGCAGCATGAAGCTACCACCGTCGAAGTGTCGGTGGCAAGCGTCTATTACAGCGGTGGAAAGTTCATAGCCGAGTATGTCTTTTACGGCGAGGCCTTTGTGAGGCCTAAGGATGATCTTTATGTCGTCCTTTGGCAGGGGCGGGAGCGGACGGCGACTTCTCGTACGACGTCGGCGCTTCACCTGACTTCCCTGCTTCGGTGGGCTGCTTGACGAGGCGTTGCACTCCACAGCTTCTGACGCGTTTTTCTGGTTTTTCTTCTGGTTCTTCTTTTGCCGGCGTGTCAAAACCGTGTGCCAGCCATCCTCCGTCCATGCGGCACCATCGTGGCGTTCCCCTGCAGACACATTGTCGACTTCTTCGGACGAACCCTGCGGTGACCAGGTCTGAACGTCCATTTGAGTGGTTTCTGTAGCAGACTCCTCCATCTGTGTGAACCAGTGGCTTGCTCCTGAGGAGACCTCGGTGTTTCCTGAAGAGCGTCCATCCGCCGACGCTTGAGACGCGACCACGACGCAGAAGCCGCTATGCGGCGGTGCGTCTGGCCGGGCGCGACGGTCGCTGCCTCGAAGTTTTCAGCTTGCAGAAAACCGAAAAACAGCCACTCACCGCTGAAATTCGACGTTCACTGTTCGCTGTACTTTCACGAATCCGATGCACTTCAAACAACCAGAAATCGCCGAAAAACCATAGAAAATCTGCGGAGCCGATGCGACGCGCGTCCGCACACCGTGGCCCCCTAGCGGCCGATCTTAATAATGGAGGAAACGCAGTGATTATGCAGAAGGGACGCCTTTCTGCTCTCCCTTAGTGGAGTACCAAGGGCTCTTAATCGTTAAACGCTGTTTCTATACACATTCAGTTCGTCCATTGTTCATTGTATCTTTCCTTTTCTTTGCCACTAGTCGGAAGAACGTTGCAAAAAAAAAAAAGTTGAGTCCATGTATATAGACACTGCACCTCAGGAGGCAAGACAAGTCGAAACCACAATTCTGCATCTTTTGACACGTACAGTCACGCTGAATACGAGTCGCAGCACGTCGTTTGCACTAAACAATGAGACCAACGCTGCAAAGTGGCGCTTACCTAGAGAGAAAAAAATTGGCGAACCAAAACTCTCGCAATTGGTGGCACTTTCTTAACTAACTTAACATTTACCAACAGCTTCACGTTCAGGCTTGCAAGAGTCGCTTTAACCACCGAGCTAGCGTGTGGCTACTCATATTATGTGTGAAACCCGATTTCGCCGAAAAAAATTCCGATTTCGCCGGTATTAGAAACCCGATTTCGCCGGTATTAGTACAAACCCGATTTAGAAACCTGATTTCGCCGGTATTATTAGTACCACTCGCGTTGCACGAAGAGCCGAAGAAACTGCATCAACCACATCGCGCGTACAAAATAGATTTCGACTCTTCCTGGTTGTTGCCTATGTACTCACTCGTCACTCGGCATCGGGAAGTGCTGCCATAAACACGACTGGCGTTCTGCGTGGAGGCGTTCCCGCGCCGCAAGTCTTCTTCGCGCACTCGAAGCACAAGGAGACACTTTGTGGGGCGAGTGTTCCACACTGACAGGAGGCGAGCGTGCACCTTGCACACGCGGGGCCACGCCGGCGAACCTTGTCGGGACCACGTCCGATAAGGAGGTGGGAGACCCTACGCGGATTGTTTTACGCCGCTATCAGATAAAAAGCTTCTCTTTTGAAAGTACCCGCCCCCAGCTTTCGTGTGTGTACGTGAGTGCACAGGGTCAAGAGCCCCCCTCCCCTTTCCTCTCCACTGAGAAACGAAAGGATAATGGATGGATAGATGTGGCTGTACCCTTTAGATTGGGCGGCGGCTAACGCCACCTAGCCGTAATAAGTGAACTAACCATTAGATTAATCTTTTTTTTTTCCCTTTAAATAGTGAGGTTGATGACCCGTATTCTGCAGCGAAGGGCTCAATTCTCACTCGTGCCTTCACTTTAGCCACCAATCAGATAACCTCCTTCTAGTTAAGCCTACCCTCTTGAAGTCTATTTTGCCCTCCCTGTCCCTAAAGCGACATTACATTCCAGGACCGTTCCTAATGTGTGGTGGTGGAAGCGCCATCTTTTGACTTACGAAAGAACCAGATCGAGAGGTCCTGCGGGAATCGCAAGAGGAGGCTACTGGTGCTGACTGTGCGGAAGTCGAGTTATTTCGCTCCAAGAGTTGTGGCCAAAATGTCATTTATATGGCTAACTAAAAAGGGGGGGGGGGGGTAATCCCAGCGTCCGGTGTCCTCAAAACGGATGGTATCAGATGTGAAGTGCAGTAGCGTAGCTAGGAAAAGGTTAGGGGGTTCAAGTGTACCTTTTGTGTGTGTTTTTGCGTGCATTTGTATACGTCTGCGTGTATACTATATCCATACGCGAAATTTAAACATTTCGGTGGAGAGAGGTCTGCACCCCCAACCCACAGTCATGGCTGCGCCATTACTGATGGGGAACTCGTGGGGGTTTCACAAGTGACTCGTCATTTTTAGAGGGGTCTAAGGGGCATGATGCCACTCCTTAAATTGGCGTGTTCGAATGCTTCTTTTTGTGTGTGTACGCGCATATACGCACAAACTGAGAATGTGCGGGAGGAGCTTTCCCTCAAGTAAGAGTTCACTCATTCCTACTTAATGACTACCGGTGAACAAAGGCGTAACAATGAAAAGGGGAAAGGGAAATATTCAGGCCTTCACGGAAGATTGTCTGGTGAGCGAATGTGCCGAGTCTTCGGCATGGCATAGTCCAGCAAGCCTTTGGTTATCTTGTAGAATTATCATTGTCAACAAGAACGTGACTGAGGGGGAGATATTTGAGAGATTACTCGAGTAGTGTATTCACAGATTATTTACAACCTGCTGATAAGAGTGCGTGAACAAAATGACCCTTGACCGAATGTAAGGGATCATGACTCTCGAAACACGTCGAAACATGGCTGTCTACGTGAAGTTGCCATTGTTGACAATAACTATATCAAATTAAATCTACATTTCTACCATGCACGAATTGCGCACAGGAGGACAACAAAACAGGATGGATGACACAGAAAAAAGCTACCGATTATATAGTGAGCAATAGTAGGTGGTTTGACTAGTCAGCAGCTCATTGTCAAATATGGTGTGTGGCGAACAACAAAGATATTGAATTAACAAGCAAAAGCACATCTGTCATTAGCGCAGAATAAAAGTAATGCGCAATAGCCTGCAAAAAAAAAAAAAAGAGAGAAGCACGCAAAAATATACAACGCCAGGATGAATCCAATTAACTTTCTTCTGCAAATATTGATCTAAGTTCTGCTGAAGATAACCCAAATAAATCAAGACTAAATTAACTGAATATGGTTTAAAAAGGCTGTTAAAGAATTACATACACTGTACGCCAGTATTCAAACCGGTTTTGGCGGCAATCAAGAACTCTCTCTGTTTTGTTTTATAGCGGTGTGGATTTGTTTCCGAATTGCGTATACTAATATTATAGCGATGCCTATTTTTTTCTTAATATCTAAATTGTGTATATTATTACTAATTTCGTATTACAGTCCTGAAATGAACCGATAATAATGCCAAACGTATTTCTTGTTTCAATTTCGCTATATTTGGTTTACACTCACAAGGACTGTAAGCAATGCGCAACACAGACCGCACCTCAGTGTTTCGAGAAGCTTCGCGATCGTAGTAGATCGTTTTTTTTATTTGTCAAGATTGGTGGGGCAGGCATTGATGACAAAGGAAAAAAAAATGTCGTATTGGTGGTATTGTGGAAAGTTTGAATAGAAACCCGGTCTATCTCTTGCACGCATGCCACAAACTTGCAATTCTACACACGTAGGTTACAAGCGCGAACCCAAATTGAGGTAAAAAGGTCATGTTGGTCTTCAGATGGACACTGACAAGGGGAGGGGCGCTGACGCCGTGCCGGGGCCGCTAGGCGGTGAATGGTTGCAGGCAGAATGAAGACTTCGGTCAAATGAGAAATGTAAAGCACACACACAAAAAAAGACAAAATCGAAGTATAGAATTGGCGTTTATTTTTAGCCTACATGTCAGAAAGTTGCAATTCCTAAGCATAGGTTGCATGCGAGAACTCATTATCGGAATATTGGCCTTCAAATAAGAGGTGACAAGGGGAGGAGGGGCAGTTCTGACGTCGCACGGCCCTGCGGGCCTGAATATTGCCGATTTTCACTCTAGCGCACGGAAGACACCGGTTTATTTTACATCAGCTCGATGCATAAATTCGGAAAAGTCTGCGTCGCGAACAAAACATCCGCCGTCTATTGATCAATCACTCTGGGAAATGCGCGCCATCTATTGAATACGACGGCACGTGTTCAGTAGAGCGCGACCGCGAAAGGCCAGACGGCGCTGTTCCCTGTGGCATACCTTCGTAGCAGACGACAAAATTTGATCACTGTACGAGTAGTTTATGCTCGCTCGTCTATCTATTTCTTGTTTTGTGCGCGCTAAAGAAAGTTAAAGTATGAGTAGTTCATTTTTAGTGGTGAACCTCGTTAATTTATGGCTGATTCAGGTCCAGGGACAGCAGAAGGATGTTTAACTGAAGGAGGGGGGGGGGGGAGTGCTGAAGTCTACGTCGTGTGAGGTCCTTCGTGTGGGAGGACAGGGACGCAGAATTGTATGCACTGCGGTTTAGCTATCTTTATTCTCGGGGTGGGTGGCAAGAGGGAAGGGCAAGCGAAGAGGTGGGGTAAGGGGGGGGGGAGGTAGTGACACTTTTTCCGTGTCTTCTTGGCGCGCCACCTATGTTCAGTAATGAGCGTGCAGTCTGTGAATAATATGTGTTGGGCTTGTGCATGATCACCTAGTTATACAGTTTTTTTTTGTTTTTGAATGCGCAGCATTGTATCCTACAACTAATGTAATGTGCTGATCGCATGCGCACCTTAGTGTGTCTATATGCGCCCGTGTTTGCGGAAACACGTTAATCTCGTAGAAGCAGCCCACAGAAGGACGCAAAAGATGCTCACATCATTAGACGCAAACGCAGCACTTGTTTTTGCGTCCTTTTATGCGTGCGTGTTTTGAGTCCTTCTATGCGTCGCTGCTTCCAAAATCATGGCTTATGGATTAGCTCATCAGTACGTACTAAGTACTATATTGCCGCTGCCAATCTATAACGTCACGAACTTCTGGTGATTGATCTTGCAGGCGGCTTCGTCAGGCATGCTGATTGAATGATATATAGGGTTTAACGTCCAAAAACCACCATATGATTATGAGAGACGCCGTAGTGGAAGGCTCCGTAAATTCTGACCACCTGAGGTTCTTTAACGTGCACCCAAATCTGAGCACACGGGCCTACAGCATTTTCGCCTCCATCGAAAATGCAGCCGCCGTAGCCGGTATTCGATCTCGCGACCTGCAGGTCAGCAGCCGACTACCTTAGCCAGTTGACCACCGCGGCGGGGCAGTTTATTTTGCTCCTGGCAAACTTCACCGGAGTGTGTTTTTTTTGTTATTCTGAAAATGTCAATGCATAGATATTCAAATGGTCTATCATTATTACAAACATCGCCACTTTAGTTAACACATCTCCACTTATCTCATTAGTGTTTTGGGGGGAACCGAACGACAAACAAGTATTTATCTGAAGAGATACAACTGAATAGCCACGAGAACCGGCGTTTAGGTCCACTCATTATTTTTTTCAATACAGCACGTCATCCGCCTGGTACTCTCTAGAAGAGGCATAGCAAAGAGTTTACATGCGAAGGAAGTAAGGGCGTTTGGCGTACGTACCCCCCTTTTCCTGGTACATTCGGGTGTGCGCTTCTATTCAAATTATATGTAGTACGTATGTGGAGCCTTCTGATGTACCAAAGACAGCAAAACACCACCTTTTGGCATGCTCGAGTGCCTTCGGATGTCATTCGATTCTGTAAACGCTGCACGAACGATCAAGTTCTTCGTGGCTTGACACAAGAATTGTGGTGCATACAAGCAGGGACCGATTTGGGAGAGTTGGGGGGGGGGGGGGGGTTTCAACTTATCAAACACCCAGACAAACTTTGTCTCACATGGTCACAGCGCTCACGTGGTCTTTCCAGCGCTGTGTTTGCAAATATGTCCCACCAACACGAAACACGAGCGTTTGTTTTTTTAAAAAAAAAAAACTGAAGATTTTATTTGAAAAAGAAACACACAAGAAGAAGTAGATGGATGAAAGCAGGGTAAAGAAAGTAAGACAGAAGCCTGACGAGTCTCTCGACTTCAAAACTTTGCAGCGACGAAGTCAGACACTGATCGGTATTCCGGCAGCGCGAGCCTCCAGGTGTGAATCTCGTTCCACGCCTCGGCCTCCTTGCGGTCGCCGAGTTTGTGGAACTTGCTCTGGTACGCCTGGTACAGCTGGTTTGTCAGGTGCGCAAGGCAGGCCACGTTTGTCCTCGGGTAGTAGCCGGCCCAGTTGCCCCTGGAAGCAAGAAGAAGCGAGGTTGGCGAGTTGGTCCAGCTGTACAGACGCGTTCGTATACCAACAGACTCATGTGGTACATTCTACTAGATTGCCATCTACTAGAATGTACCAGTTTAGAGTTAGCTAGTACGTGTGCGTGGAATATTCGAGCGTGCACTGCACATTCTTTTCCTATACCGACTGATCCAGTTGTACATACTAGTGCATCGTGACTTATTAGAATGTATCAGTGTAGGGTTT